CCCCCCCCAAGCTTTTAGCTTGTTTAGTCTTGAAAATCCAGTTAAGACAATAGAACAGAACATTGTTTACAATACAACCATGTCCAAAAAAATCAGGCTTCTCTGGCAGAAATAACTGGCTTTCTTTTAATTCTTCACCTCAGCTGGGAAATTATAACGCTGCTACTTCACTGCATGTAAACTCACAGTTATTGAATAGTCTGCATGTAAGTCAACGGTCTATTTTTCAGGCCAAAAAAGAAATGAAGTTAGAAAAACAAACTTGTGACTGAAAGAAAGAAGTTTGTGTATTCGACTCAGTTATACTCACACGGCTGCATGTCCTGAAATGACAAAACAAAAGGTGAAACTGAAGAAGACCGTTTCTGGACAGCATCCACATGAAAATGTAGAAACTGTGAAAGATAACATTGTGTTTTTATTAGTTGTTCTATTACTTACTTTCTATTACTTATTTCTCTTTACAGATTTGTGTGCTAATGTGTGGTCCAAGATGAGCTCTGCATTGTATAATATTGCAATAACTTGGCTACTCCCCTGTATAAATGAATGTACCCTCCTGATCTGAGTATTATAAGATTACTTTTTAAACCCCTTTGCTCCTCTTAAACTCCTTTTAGTGTGAAGCAGAGCATGACCCACGCCACAAAGGTGGGACTGGAAAGAAAACTAAAAAGTCTGGGCTTGGGTCCATGTTTGAAAAGCGCTCTACTCCAAAGATGAGTAAACTCAAGGTGAGACATTTCTAGCTTTTCCTCTGTGTACTGCATTTGTAAATCCTTTCAAGCTATGCAGCTGCAGAAAAAAAAAATCAGTGCTAAAGGTAAAATGACTGTCCTTTTTTGCACTGGCAGGAAGCTGAGAGCCCTGAATCTGAGGTGATAGTGAAAACGGCCAAAGATGGATGTGCAGAGGGTCTCATTTATGGTGGAGGGGGAAAAGAAGGGATTTTCATTAAGGAAGTAGTGCCAGAGTCACCAGCCTCCAAAAATCTAAAACTGAAAGAAGGTAAACCTGCGGCTGAAAATTTGTCTCATTAAAATTATTATAGGTTTAAAGTCTCTATATTATTACATTACATTACTATGTATTATTACATTCTGTATTCTACTTGATTTTATGTTATGCTATTGTAGAATTTTTAATTTGCAATATTCAATTGACAATTACACTGCTCAAAAAATTAAAGGAACACTTTTAATAAGAGTAAAACATCAAGTCAGTCAAACTGCTGGGATACTGACGTGGTCAGATATGTAGCAGAGGGGCTTGCTAATCAGTTTCAGCTGCTTTGGTGCTAATGAAATCAACAACAGGTACACTAGAAGGGCAATGGTGCGACAAAACAGGAATGTTTTACAGGTTGAGGCAACCGAGAT